AAGATATTTGGTGTTAAGAGAACGGTGCCATACAACATATCCTATTTTCCTTTTGTTGCATGAGAAATATTCTGTACGTGTTATTTCATAGGGGTTTGTTACGATAAGATATCAAAAATTATCGCAAAAGTATTCAGAACTGTGAGTTATTTCGTGAAAAATATTGAAAACACAATCTGTTTGAAGTTAAAATTCTAGTTTTTTCAATTATATCTAAAAAATTACTAAATTTTGTTAAATTTAATTAAAAATAACTTATGTTTTGACGTTATTCTGTTATATATTGCATAAAATTTTAAATTCAATTAGTCACATCTGACTTAACATTTAAATGTCATTCAGTAATAAAATATATAACCACTTCAATTTCGAAACCGATTGATTGATTTAAAAAATTTTAAGAGCTATAAATTTAAATAGGAAACAGCATGATATTTTAGTAAAACGAGATAATCTAGTTATAAAAAAAGACGTCATACAATTAAATTATTTAAAAAGCAAAAGAAAATATTTATTTGGTCATATAGAATCGAATTTGGCTTAGCAAAACTTTTAATACAAAAGTTTATATGTTAATATATTGATTTTTAACCGCAATCTTAATATGAGAGAAAAACCTGAACATTACTAACTTTTAACATTAATTACTAAACTAAAGATCAAAAAAGAGAAATTGAATCAATGTTAGGTAATATAAAATAGTTATTCATAATTAAAAACTAATATGAACGTGGACAATTTTCGATGAAAGAGTTTCAATTTTTTTTTAACAATATTTTTAATTAATACTTTAAACAATTTAAAGAAATTTTTGTAAGGGAAGCAACATTTATTTCCCAACGAAAGTGTGTGGTGCAAAATTATAATTTTTTTCGAATAACGAATGCTACTTGACCGACCACTTTTCATTTCATCTGAGATGACGTTATTTTAACATTTGCAATAAAAGTTGTTCAAAAAAAGTATAGAATTAAAAAAAAAAATAGTAACCATCAAAAGCAAAACTAGTCTTCATTTAACTGTGATTTTAATTAAACTTCATAAATTATTTTTTTTATTATTTAAATAATTAACACAAACTAACAAGTTTTTAAGAGTCAAAAATTTTAAATTAACACAACATTAAATTTATATTTAATACTAATATGATTAAATTTAATTTTTATCATTTGTCTATGCGTTAGAGTATGTATTAAATAATTTATTTAAGAATTTCTTTATACATTTTTTTAATAATGATTTTTATATATTTTTTATCAGGCTATAGGTCACTTTTTGTTAAATAATATAACGTTTTTTTAATATTTTTGAATATATTCTATATTTCGACTCTTCTTGAGAGGCATCATTAGGATCACAATCTAACATAAATTATTATTAAAAAATTTTTGGTCATTAAAACAATAAATTAATATTAATAAAACTATATCTGCGTCATCCTCTTTATTCTATTATCTACCATATATTGCACGTCAGCCTCTTTATACTATTGTCTATATTGCACAATAGAATAAAGAGGATGACGTAGATATAGTTTTATTAATAGAATATTAATTTATGTTAGAACGTGATCCTGATAATGACTCTCAGAAGTGTCGATATATAGAATATATTAAAAATTATTAAACAAACGAATTTTTTAACAAAAAGTGACCTATAGTCGGATAAAAAAATATATAAAAACCATTATAAAAAAAAAACAGGTCGATAAATAAATTCAAAATTTTATCTTTTTTATATATTTTTCCGAGTTTGTTAAAACTAATGATAATTAATCTCAAAATTAAACATTAATATTTAAACAGAAATATCAATACAAGTTATATAATGATAGGATATCATTTACCGGTTACTTTCAAATACAATATTTCATTACTCATCAAAATTTTTATCTCTAAATTGGGATTCATTTGTGCCAATTAAAATATTCATGGAAACAATATTAACATACATTTCTCGTAGCAACTTTCATCACTTTCTGTACGTTTTAAATCCATATACTTTTTAATAAAATTAAGGGAAGTGCAAATTATTTAATATATTAAACTCAATTTTTAAAAAATTATCATAGAGGATTTTTTTTAAATTTTTTTAAAATAACTTTTTTAAATGTATCATCATGTCTGCATGTATAGTTTTATGAAAATATATCTATCGGAATAAATTGATTGCATAAGTAAAATATAGAAAATGTAAGAAATTATCTTTTTTAATTATTATAAAATTTAATCTATTGTACATTTAACAGCTACAACGATATTCATTGGAGGTTAAATCATATAAACAAGTGTTAAAAACACCATTCAATCTCGACCTTTGTTTATTAATTGTGTATTTGTCTATGTAACTAGTTTTATTAATTGTTTATATTGAATATAATACAAATATTAACTTGGGAAGTGACCATTAAACGTAATATATATTTAAAATATCCTAGTATTAGTTGTGGGATAAGTGCCTTGTTTTACTTTGTATCTTATAAAAATATTTTGTTAAAACATGTTCACTGTAATTATATTCATTAAGCTTGTCTTTGATTCAAAAAGTATAACTACGAATAAAGTTAGATTATAACGGAGATCCCAGTGTTATTCACTTAGGCATAATGAACATTTTTGAAACGACCTCTTTGTTATTATGAAAACCTCAACAAAAACCAAAATGTCTTTCATCACGATGAAACAGTGTTGCATTGTACCACTTCATTGAAAGCCAATGATCTGTTAATTTAATTGTATTCTAGTAGTAGTATTTTAGCTTTATTTTATATAAAGCTTACAGCTATGGCATTTTCGTCGTGTGCCGAAATTCTAATTCTATTTTAATATTATTCTAATTCTATTCCATTCATTGTCCATATTATTTTATAATTTTACATAGGAAAATATGTGGACCACATATAATATGTGCACAACATATATTATTTCAAAAGACAGTTATGACTATATATACCGTGAGTTTATTGATGCATGTTGCCATTTTCGTACATACTACTAATACGTAAATATAACATTTCAAAGACGGCAGCCTATGTCTATAAGTGGATAACCTCACTTCATCTTAATAGAAGGAGAGAGTTGAGCACTTGTAGACAGACCAAACTCATGTTATCAAAACCGTGGGCCAGAGAAGCAATAAAGTTGCTTAGCTATTCGCGGAGCACCCTAAGCTGGCTGACCTCACTAATTACTGGACATGGCAACTTCAAGTATCACCTCAAAAAGATAACTCTTGCTGAGGAAGACACTTACAGACTATGTCTAGAAGAAAAGGAGACAGCGGTGCATATACTGTGCCAATGTCCAGCACTGGCAAGTAGGAGGAAGACTGTCTTGGGACACCATTGGGTTGGTGACGACTTGGCAGGAAACTTCAAGCTAAATGAGCTACTTGCATTAATAAAAGATGTAGTTATGCGAACGGAAGCCACTCCAGCTTTAACTCAATAACAACATCCGCGAATCAAAGGACGAAAAAGGACCCAAGTCGTGATCTACTTCGACTAATCCTTCACTTCAGTGGGGCCACTTGTTGGACAGTGCGCTGTCCCAACGTCCCAACATATATAACATTTCAAAGAACTTTAATTAAAGTGATTACTTTTTCAATAATAGAAGATATTTAAATTGAAATGAGTAAAAAATAAACAAATAAATAAAATTTAAAAATGGAAGATCGAAAAATCCAAGATTTGCGTATTCGGTATATATTGCGATTGATAAATTTATTGTTTTGATTTTGCATGAATATTTATGTTGTTTAGGCACAATCCAGATGAGGTTCTACAATGTTTAATATATGTTTCATCATATAATAATTCTATGTTTGTAATACAATAGCAACTAAACATAGTCAAAAGTTTCTTGATATCCTTGATATAAATTACTCCCTTATCCACTATTTTCAATCAATATAATAAATGACATTTAATTATAGATTTATTGCAGTAAAAACGCAGAGTTGAACGTATTAAATGGAATCCTTTAAACTGCTTTACTCGAATCCGAACATTTGGATTAAAAATTTCAAATGTTCAAATTGGAAAAATAACTATTAATTGAGAAAAAGTCAATAGATTTCTATATCGACTTGCAATAAGTCAAACTTAGCTTGAACGTACTATGAGACAAAATTAAATAAATTCAAAATAAAATAAAAAATTAAAATTATACATAAATAATTTTAGCGTAACTCATAATACCATCAAAAAAGTGTAGGGTGCTTATTTAATATTTTAATTCATGTATTAATTTGTCCCTGAACTTTAATTTATTGTTGCATGTCGGAAACCCAACGCATATTGGCATGTCGCTTTGATTCGTTCGATGAAGTTTTATGATACTCTCAACTAATAATCTGTGAAGAATGGTTTAAAAACAATTCAACTGAATTTCGTATAAGTAATTATCCAAATTACGAAAGTAAAAATAAAATTTATTTGTTTATACATAATTATTTTACGCAAGGTTTTATTTACTAAAGTTCTGCATGCAATCTACGAATTATGCAGATTATTAATTTGTAATAATTATTATAACTTTAATATAAAATCTTAATGGATCTTAATAGTATTATTATTTCATGGAAGGGCCTTAATAAATATTTATTTATATAGATCTTTTTATATAAAGTAAGAAAAATGCACTATGTTAAGCAAACTCGTTTCGTGATAGCAAACTAATTTATCAATCAATTCGAATGCTGTTAGTTGTTTTTATTAATATTCATCTGTATTAAATATAGCTGGCAAACGTTTCTTCAGTTTCTGAATTAAGTATAAATTTGCATTTAAACGATACGATTTCTTTTAAAATCATAGTTACAAGTCAGATAGATTCCCATAATTGTTGCATGGCATGCGAATACATTGGAAAAAAAATAATTTCGAATGAAAATACAGATACGAATGCGAATGCGAAACAAAACATATGAGTGCATCCAATACAACATGTGTCGAAGCCGATATCGGTAACGTAGTTGATATGTGGAATGTGACTTACCTTGAAGAAGATGCCGAGGTAGTAACGCTTCTCGCCAAGCTTTAGTAATGGCATCGTCCATTTGTTTGCATATTGAGTTTCATCCACACAGTTTGGACAATCTATAAAATAAACACAACAAGAGAACAAACTTTAAGTAAAGCAACTTTAAAACAAGAATTGAGTAAAAAAACTAAAAACAAAAATGTTAATCTGTTTATATAAGTATTTTTGTGAAGCATGTATTAAATTGAATTTTCAACAAACTTTGTAATTATGTTTGTGCCATAAACAGTAGTTAGGACACGCCTTTAAGGGTAAAGTTTAAAATTTACTTAAATTATTATTATTATTATTATGAATTGCGAAGTGTAAACAGGAAACTATTAAATAACATTGCAATCAAGACCAAAAAAGAAAATTGACCCATAACTTCGTTAAAAACTAATTGTAATTAAAATCTGTTGGGAATGGTCAATTAAAATCATTATTAATTGCTTTTTTTAAGCCTTTTCATAATGTTTCTCGCTTTATTAAAGTCTACGGTCTACGTGAAGGTTCTGTAATAATTTTAATTTGTTTCCGTGAAATACTTTTTATCGGTTCTTTGGTTCCATTGGTTTCATTGGTTCTTGACATATTTTCTTGAATTTTGGTGAAATATTAAATTCATAACTCATTTCAGAAATAAAGATTTATTGCTAAAGCTACATTTTTATTATTGCAGACGCTAAACTTAGCCTTAGGGTAATTTATTAAACAATTACAAATGACCCAATTTAGTAAACACAAATGTTTGATTTTGCTATTTCGCACGAAATATTGGTAATCATGATTTATACTTATTTATTGACATGACGTTAAAATTTGTATTGTCTTAAAAAAAAATATCATAAAAGCCAAAAGCTTCAATAATTGTACCTTACTAAATCTTAATCTTTTAAAATTTAAACAATTTATTTCTTATTCATAATTGATGTTACCATCTGTGTTTTACTGAATGGATAAGACTTATGAGAAGAAATGACTTAAATTTTTTTTATTTTCTTTTAAACAAACAATAAATAAATTTAAAAATATGGTATATTTAAATTATAAGTCGTTTAAAAATTTATGTGTACATTTTACCTATTTTGTTACGATCTTTAAATAAACAATGAAATATTTTTCTTATGAAAAGAAAATTAATCATGTACATAATTTTTTAAAAATTTTTGAAAAAATCAATAAACTAATAAATAATTTTTTTGTATTGATAAATTATTTTAAATTGTTCAATATATTTCATCATTAATATATCAAAGAGTAATGTAGTTGCTTACTATTACAATTACAAAAAAAAAATTCATAACATGTCACCAATGAAATCGAATGCTATAAGGTTAGAATTTAACGATACCTATTTTAAATGGCAGAAAGTTTTGTTCTGTGCTATTGCTTATTTTACAGTATTTATATTTCTATATTTTTACAGAAAATGCTATGAAATATTTATATTAATTTTCCCAGTTATATTCTTTAATGCAGCGAAGGAAAAATCAGAAAGCGTTGTAAGTATTTATATTTTTTACTAGTCGACAAAATAAACTTTCCCATCTATGTTTTGCTGTCCATATACTCATTTCAATAAGAACTGGTCTTAAACTATATATATTTAATTTTATACATTAAATTATCTCTTTTAAGAGCTTAAAGAATGGAATAAGGAATAAAAGGAATAAGAGCATGGCTTGAAACTCCAACAAAAAGAAACTCTCTTCGAAATAATGCGAAGGCGGTTCCGGTGAGGGAACATGGAGGGACGAATTTCTCGAAAGAAGGGTTGTTTTAACCCACATACTACATAATAATATGTTAGGGAATCGGACACATAATTCTGACGTAGATCGGTTTGACGGTACACTTCTTTATCACAAAAACGCAAGTAAAAAAAAAGGGTACAGGCAAAAACATTAAACAAAGCTTTATAGCCCTGAAGGATGTGACAATAAGAAAATATGATAATCGGCGACAATAGTATTGAATTTAAAGGAAATTACTAAACATCACTAAAAACAACTTTACACTTTAAAACTTTAGCAAGACAAAATTTAGAAAAAAAAGAATACAACTTAAAAATTTATGATTATTTTCAAATAAGTGTTAGGTTACTGACTCTAATGATTTGCCCTATTTACAGTTATTTGGCAAAAATACGAATATTTGTCATATTCATTTTTAAATGATAATATATTTATTATAATATAATAAAAAATATATATATAATAATTATATAATATAATAATTAATGATTATGTATATATAATACTACATAATATTATTATATATTAATTTATATTATTATTATTTATTATATTTGTAATATATATAATATATATAATATCTAATATTAAAAATATTATACATATAAATATTTATAATAATTTTTAATATAAGCAAAGTATTAGTTATTTATTATAAAGTCGGTTTTGTTTTTTAAGATTTTTACTTTTATTTCGTCCATAGTAGTTTGTATATCTCTGTACGTATTTTGGCAAAGTCGCTTTTGCCTTCTTCATGAGAATTCCTAGTATTGTTGTAGATTAGTTACAATTGATAACCATTGAATTACAGTTACTAATAAAAGCTTGTCGCTAACACTATTTAGTACAAAGTTGTAAACCTACTCACGTATAATTTAATTATCTTTGGAAGTTATACTTAATATTAACATTAATGTAATTGTTTAAATTGGTCAATATGGTATGGAAAATAGTTTACACCAGATTAATCAAAAATAGGATATTATTATTGACAGATGTTGACTTTATATTACCATAATATTGACTTTTAATTTATTTTACTTACAATATAACTCTATATATACCTTTATAATACAAGTCAACGTATAACTGCAGAAGTACTATAAAAAATGGTCTCAAATAGTAATAAAGCGGAAACTAAATGAGACTGCAACACCTTGCGTGACCTTTTCTCAATAACAAATATCAATAAATCCGTAAAATTAGGTGCTAAAAGTCTCACATGCAAGCCCAACACACTTTTCAAACAAACAATAATAAAAAAATCTTGTTTGAACATTTATATAATTAATTTCAAACTACAAACTCAAGCATAAATTGTTGTACTATAAATTTTACTAACGGCCATATAAATTTAACAAAAAAAAAATTTTAAAAGCTTCAAACAATAAAAAACAAACAATAGATTTGCATCAGAATATTATTTTTAAATAATTTTTTTTGTTTTGTTTAACAAATTAAACAATTTTATCTCACTGAATTCGAAACTATCTAAAGAAGTGTATAGAAAAAAACTTAACTATTAATTTAAAGTTATATTACCTGAAATTTAAGAAACAAAGATCAATATATTTTCTTAATGATATTTTAACAAGGTTAATTGCCATCTTTGCTGAAATTTATTGGTAATTAAAATAACAAAAAAATTCACACTTATTAAACTCAAGATAACAATAAATCAAAATATGTTACAAAAAAAAAATCGCAACGCCTACAAATATCGCATCTGCAGAGTTACATACTTAACCCAAATCCCACAAATGTGTGTGAACTGCAACTGATTCAATCGCTTTACATACTTTCTTTGTGGTCTTCGCAGAAGCTTGAATGCCTGAAGTGGCATTTTTAATGGACATGAAAGCAAAATTACAGATAAATGTGAAGTTTGAATTTATGGATGTTATTTATTGTGCCAAAATATTAAGCAATGCCTAAATCACAGATTACTTTATATAATTTTTTTTAAATGCCAACATTTTAACATGAAGCTTATGTGCTAAAATTATCTTAATTTTGTATTAAATAATTTATATATATTTTAAAACAAGTTACTTTTCCGATTTTTTTACTTCTGACTTTGATTTGCGCGTGACAAAAATTCCAAGAAATTTTTAGATTCATTTGGAAACTTATCCATACAAGTTTATATATGTTAGTTTTATTTAATAATTTTGCATATTTCTTAGTAATTTGTTGTGATAGAGAGAAGCCGTTGGCTGTCGGCAGTCGGTGATAACGCAATAATGGGAGCGCAAAAATTCAATGTCAAGCAAAATTCAACTTAAATTTTATGTTTGTTGCAAGGTAAAATTTGTATTAAGCCTTGTTCAAAAAACATAAAAAATAATCTTAATAATAAAATAAAATTATATTTATATAAAGAAACTAGTAGAAAAAAGTCGTTAAACTTTGATCAATTTTAAAATCTTTTAAAGGCTATCAGAATCAAAATTTTAAATTTTTTAACGCAAATTTATTTTATTACCTTACTATTGTATTATAACTAATAATTAATTCTTTACTTTATAAAATTTTTCAATTTAAATACTCAAAAATATATATCTGCAAGACGAGCATAAAGTCAAATTTAACTTCTAGTATCAAGCTGATAATAATAAGAGGGTGTTAGTTAACTAAAAATTAATTTTTATGGTTTTTAAATAAAATTATATACTCAGAAATATTCTTTAACAAATTATAAATTTATTACGATATCATTAACATAAAAAAAACGAGATCGAACAGCAGTTATTGAAAAATTTTGCGACTAGATTAATTGTTTCAAAGCAATAGTGCCGGTATTTCGGCATACTGTACATTTAGTAATACTATTTCGTTAGAGAGGTTTCAAAAGTAGTAAACTACAACAACAAAACTACTTTTCGAAACCTCTCTAACAAAATTCAATAATTTCTATTAAATAAAATAGTCACTACCGTCATAACTGACGTTAAATTGCAATTTATTAAATATTACATATTATTATATAATATATTATATATATATATAATATATTATATATATATATAATATATAAAAATCAATATATTAATATATAATCAAAAATTTTGAATTTATTTATTGACCTGTTTTTTTAATAATGGTTTTTATATATTTTTTATCCAGCTATAGGTCACTTTTTAGAAAATAATTCAACGTTTGTTTAATTTTTTTAATGTATTCTATATTAATATAGACAATAAAATATATTGAATATATGCAATAGAATAAAGAGGATGACTTAGCTATCGTTTTATTAATATTAATTTATGTTAGATCGTGATCCTGATGATGACTCTCTAAAATACGCGAAATTTATA